AGAAAATTGAAAATGGGAATTTGGTCAAAAAAGTCGGTCATTGTCCCAGTGGTAGCCTAAACTTCGCTCCTAAGGTCTATTTGTTGGCAGGAAATTTCTCAAAAACTGTAGAAGGAAAGAAACTGCTGGAAAGAAAATTTTTGAGAATACGAGAAATGAAGAATTTTTGTTGCATAATCTTTAATTTTGAGTTGACAGTGATTCTTTTGATATTTCAATGTTGATGGTTTTGTTAAAGCTTGATTCCTTTTTTTCTCCTTCATTTAATCGTGGCCCCTTTTTGGGCCCTTTTTAGATCTAAAAAGCTTGATTACGAGCTACAATTAAAAGGTTACTCCAAAATTTGCAAAAACTTTCCTGTTACATGTCAACATTACAATAGACGAAATTATGCGACGCATTGATAAAAGAAAGCTTGAAAATATTTCCTCGGATTTTCCTTCAGTCATAATCCATTTTTAGATACTGTTTCTGGCCATACCTTAAATATCATATTTCTAAAATTTTTCTTGCCGCCAACCATGGTGGCCTTTCCTAAAACCTTTCATAACCTTGATTTTTTGGCCCCTCCACTTTCAAATACGTTTCGCCGGCCCTTTTCTGTTACTGTTTGAAATGTAAAACTCGAATTCATATCATCTTGTATTACAAGTTGTAATGTTTAATACCTAGAACGTTGTCATTATAAATCATTTTCACTTTTACTATAATCATGTTACTGTATTCACTGAAATTTAGGGCTTGGACTCGAACACCGTTTCGGTGCCTCCCAACATCCTAGGCAACTTTTTTGTTAACATGTTAATTGCTGTTAAAATTCGTAATTATCTTTATCGACACTTTATTGACTTCTAATATTGTAAAATGGTTGCTTAATATTAAATGAATTTGAGTTTGGAGCTTGAGAAAAAGAAGCTTCAGTTGACGCAATTCATAAAACGTTTACAAGAATGAGGTGAAATTGAGAGTTGATCCGCTTGTTACTGGGTTGTTCAGCTTGTTCCTCGTTTTAGAATTGGCGGCCTTAAACTGTGTTACGCCACTGACTCACCCTCCACAACACTTTCTTTTTCAAGAACATTGTTCAAAAAAATATTCAAACTCCGAATCATCCAATTTATAAGAATATTCTAAGAATATTGCTCAGTCTCAGCATATTTGTGCCTAATTTTTCAGCATTTGCCTGTTTTGAGATTTTCATAGCATTGAATCGTAGAACTGACCTATCTATATCTCATTTTTCAAAAAGCGTGGTTTTTATAGAGTGAGGGGGCCCCAGTGAGCGTTTTGAAAAAGCGTTTATATTCAAATTTTAAAAAATAAGAATACCGACAGAATATATTCAGGGTCAAAACAAAAATATCATAAGAATATGGAAGCTGGAAATATTTTATAACATTCTCATTAAAAAAGGGTGTATCACCATCTCGTAATTATTTCTTTATTTACAGCATGCTAAAAACGAATATGGCTATTTTACAGCTTACTTAGGCCGACTACTAGGTACTTTTAATAAAAACGAAACTACCTAACGGAAATTGTAACGAACTTGATAAAAGCAAATTGAGGACCAATTATTTATCAGTCAGTATGTATTCTGTGTCCCGGCTTACAATAGGAAGTATCTGTCATCAAAATACATAACGTTTCTTGCAAGATAGGCATCAAGCTGCTCATCAAAAAAAATTTCAAGACACTTCTCCTCCTCTCCCCGCCTCTTTCCGCTCCTTGCTATAAACCACTACCCCCTGGAACACGACTCGACTACATGAAAGTGATCAATTCAATTCAATGCCTCGACGAAGTGACATTTGCCTTGACGAAGCGAGACCTGTCACGATTAATCAATCCTGCCTCGACGAAACGACAGCTTTCACGATACAGGACCGGCTCGACGAAGTGAAACCCGGCTCGACGAAGAGAAACCCGCCTCGACGATCAGACAACCGCCTCGACGAAACAAAGGTACCCATTATGTCCAGTACATGACTCCATACATTTTCGGCCTCGGTAAGTTCGCGGCAAGTATCATCGGCTGTCCAAAGGGTCAACGAGAACCTAGCGAAATGGCAGACAGGGCCTAGCAGCGGCATGTTTGTTAGAAGGCCAGACTTTTATCTGGAATCGATATAAAGAGAGAAGTATCGCTCATCAGTCTTGATATTCTGATCGAATATGGAAGTTTTTTATCGCACGAATCTTTCTGACAGAGAAGTCAAATTGTCAAAGTAGGCCAGCGAGACAGAGACATGAGGATGTTGACAGACTTTCATGGAATGTTGCTTTTGAAGCAATTTGTATTGGCAGGCCAGTTCCCTGATTTTAAAAAGAAGATTCGCGCTTTTTCATCAGCTCTTCCTTTAGTGCAACAGCTAGAAACCATCGCGCAATTAATTTAGGAGGAAATACCAAAACAAAACCAGTATACCGGGAATGAAAGCTGTATGAATTGATACAACATATTCATTAGGATAAAGAGCTTCATATCAACATGACTATGACTTATTAGAAATAAACCAGGACAATCGAGGGCATGGACAAGAAAGTATACAAACTTTCAAGACAAGACTAAAAACCTACCATTAATCATGAGTCAAACAACTTTTTCAAAAATTATAAATTTGTTTTTATACAAACAAAAAAGGGATTTGAGATTATATTAATAATTCATCTTTTTCAATATACTTGTGTAAATATAATTTTTGTATTTAACCCCTAAGCTATTACAGGGGCCTTGTCAGCTCCTTTAAGCTGTCAGAATTTCAACCTGCTATATTAATGAATAATAAATACATGTTTGATGTATTTAAATACTTGGCTACATTAAATTATATATTCAAATATCTATACAATCAGGCCAGTGAACTAGCTAGAAATTTGTAATTTCTATTGCACATGAGAAATGTTCTTATAAAAGTATCATGAAACAATAGTCTATTGCAAAATTTCTAGAAAATACCTATATGTTGTCACTAGTTTTAAATAATAGAAGTGGATTTGCAAACATTATATTGTATGACCAAATTATATATAAAATTTTGATAATTTTAAAAATAGTCTCCTTTGTAAAAATTTTAATACAAAAACAGAATAATGTGTTGAGGTCTTTGTGGTAACTCTTGCAGGGAAGAGAGGGGCAGGTTATCACTCCCACAAAGCCAGTAGCCAGATAACAGGATGCATTTTTTTGCAAGATCCTTTCTGCTGATCCATAAAAGAGTTTGTTACCTTTTCTATGCCTAGAATAATAAGGTTGACAGGGATAAATACTAACATACCAGTGAAATTTACTTTTGAGTCATATTAAAACATAAAATGATCAAAGAAACTTGGAAACTCAGGGGCATTTAGAGTATAGATATTGAAAAGGATCAAAGAGAAATTTAGGGGTGAAAGGGCAACCACTGTTACTATAGCAAATAGCATCTAAGGATATTATCTTGAAGTAACACAAAGATGAATTTAAATGATATAGGCCATGGTTATATGAATCAATGCTAGAATAGCAAAGGTAAATTTAACAAATATAAACAATTCTGCCTTTAAAACATTAGAATGAGGATATTACACATCTTTTTTCCAAAACCAAGGGTGTAAATTCCTGTTTTTTCTTTGGGGTAGTAGATATTTTGCCCTGGATATTAATCTGGCAAAATTTTGAAATTGTGCATCAATTTTATGATGAAATAGGCAGAACTCCAAAATTGAAGGCAGAACATGGTAGAACATGAAGAAAAAGGGTTCAGGGAAACATCAGACAAACCCTGGGAAATTTTACACATCTATACCTCGGGCAAAGGTGTAGTGCACAGATCATTGGCAAGGATGTAGTGCTAGGAGGCTCAGGCCCCCTTGTTGGTACAAAAAAGTAGCAAACTTCTACTTTTGGTACTATTTTATGTGACATTTTGCTTGAGAGCCCCTGTTGTACTTTTCATATTACCACATTTCTGACCATTTGGGGGACAGTTTACAAGACTTGCTGTTAGAAAACTTGTATTTACAGTACGAAGTTTTTCTCAAAGCCCGGCAAATTGCGTTGCTTAGTGGGTGCGTGTCACACCATCCTCAAACCCCCTCCAAACCTCTACACCCTGCAGTTTCGCCTAACATTCAACATAGTAAAATGATAATAAGGATGAATTGTGACTTACGGGAAAGTTTCCATCTTGTGAATGGGGTTCTTCTAATGCGGTGAGACATCAATTATTATTCAGCTCCCTGGAAATCCCTGAGATGACACGACGATAAGAAATGCCTTCGGTCAGAAATCCATTCACATCTGAAAATTCGTGAAGCATTCCATATTAAATAGCTTGCTGCGTTGCCAAGATGAGGATATGCGTTCAGGTTGAAGCTTCCATCTTTTATTTGTCGAATTACTAGTCCATGTGGGCTGGAAGCCTCCGCTGAACATCAATCGCAATGAAGGAAAATAAATAAAACGACAACCGAGATTCTGACATGAATCGCCTCTTCCGAGCCTCTACCGAGTCGTGCGAATTTCAGTGCGAACGTATAACAAAAGCGCCGAATGTTGAAACAATAGCCCTTTCACACGTCACAAAGTGCTTTTTCCGAAAAAAATTTTGTCGTATTTTTACGGTGATTCTCAACTTTGAGCGTCTATATCTGGAAAACGAGTTAAGCTTTTCGAAAAAAAATTTCACGATAGCTTCTTTTTCTCGACTAACTACCAATTTCTGCAAAAATCTCAGAAAAAATTTTTGGGCTGGAGTGGCCCTTTAAGCCATTTGTCTGGCGCTATCAAGAAAAGATCAGAAATCCTAAGCTAGAGCACATGACTGTTAAGTTTGCTTTACACTTTTGTAAAAGTCATAAAACGGAACCTTAAGGAAAGGTGGTTTTCCCCCAAAAGTTTGGGAGTACGTGCCCCTGGTGCTTTCAGCTCCCAATGTCTCTGCTTAGCAGACTGGCTCTTACATCTTTATACTGATGGAAAGGCAAATCATTCTTTTTAGTGACAAATATTTCTATACCGTTAAACAGACTGTTTGCAACAGCTCCACAAGGGGTGACTGGTATGCTCCAAGAGTTATTTTTGTAATTTTCTTTTTTATGCCTGAATGGTTCTTTGCAAGTAGGTGCCAAGGTTGTTTTCACGATTCCATAAAACTGCTCATCATCTTTGGAGCGAGCATACATCCTGTGGTTCTAAAAGCAAAGCAAGAAAAATAGCAAGAAGTATGAAGCATTTTTAACATTGGGGTATTTTAAACATTGGAGGATACAACTTTTGTGAGGGCACTTATCGTGGTCACTAGTAACCAAGGTTTTTCAGCAAAACGGGCACTGTGACAGTAAAAATCCAACCTTAAAGAAGAACTTGCTCTTCCTGAAAAGGCACTTGCAAAAACTTGGGGGCATGACGCCCCTTGTTCCTACATCTCTTAATAGAACCATTGATTGAAAGACACCACATGCCACAGGCGTTGCTAAAGTATTGACATTGATATACTATTCGTTTTCAGATGGGCAATGACAAGTTTATGCTCATACCAATAGTAGAAAACTGTACTGATTTTTAAACTTTCATAGAATCTCTAATCTACTTAGGAACAATCAGAAACAAAATATGTTTTGCATAAGTCCTCCTCTCAACAACGCTTTCTTTGAAACAGGAGCACCAAGGCTTTAATTTTGTAAAAATACAGACGTAACCACAATGATAAGTGAAATTTTCCCCATAGGTCTCGACAAATTTTATATCGTATTTCGTATTAAATTAATAAGAAATGCTGAGAAAAGATACAATAGTCCCTTAACCCTCTCCAGCGACTTTTGTTTTGAAGGACTCTGGCCAGAACAAAGAGTATTTTTTGACAATCTAATGTAATTGAGGCCTTTACAGCTTAGCTTTTAATGATTAAGAAAATTATTTTAACCAAACCTGGAAGAAATTGTCCAGCTTGTAGTACATGAAAACCTGGCCTTTGAATTCATCTGGCAATTGAAAGGTGACCTTGCAACAATACTTCTTTGTTCCACTGGCAGGATTGTATGAACTGCCACATTCATACTGCTTGCAATTCGTATATTCTACAACTTTCTCTAGAACCTGAAGACAAACAGAATGATGAGCAAAAAACGCATGTGAAATAAAATAAACTTGGTCCAATTAATCCAACACTCGGTTTGAGTGAACGTAAACTGAGTTAGAGGTTTCAAATCTCATGAGTCATACTCAACTTATTGTAAGAACTTGGCATGAAATTCTCCAAATCAGGGTCGCTGGGTACAGCCACGCATGCCTTATGTTGTCAATTGACTCGGGCATACCTTTGGATAGATTGTCTTCACAATTTCAACATTTTAAGAAAAGCTTACAGAATCACGATGGTTTGATTGGGAAGCTGAAGATATGCTTTGTAGTGATGTAATTGTCTTTTGGCAGGTATTGTAGAATAAGCAACAAGAAACATTGTAAATGCTTTTATTCAATATGAAAATGCATTTTATGCTGAAAATATTAGGCATACCTTGCTATTGACGGTCAGAAAGACTATGCCAATTGGAATACATGAAATTGTAAAACAAAGAAGCACTGGAAGCATCGTTGAAACTGAAACTTCGAGTCTGAATGCAGAAAGATTCTGCTGGGTGAAAGGGGAATCTGCAAAACATTTTATATGTTCAGAAGCCTGCATAAAAACACTACAAGAAAATGTTATGGTTAAACCATTCAGAGGATATGAAGGGATTTCGGAAAGGCTATAAAGAGTGGTTGGAGAGTCATTATGGAAGATTGACCTTTAGCAGAGTTGAAATCAAGCAAGAAAACTGTATAAATTGCATATTGTAACTGTAAAGTAGAGCACCATTTTCCTATTCGATGCTAACAAAGCCTATTTTAACGTTGAAGAATGCAGTATGCTCTCAATTAGTGAGACCCTGGATATTTCCCTTTAACTTCCTTAATATCTTGCAAGAAAAGACTTGCTGAAGTAAGGCCCCGGTTGAGTGAAACTTTCCTTCTTCCTGAGTTTTGAAGTTAATTCAAGTAGGACTCTCCAATGTTAGATTGTGAAAATTTCAAAAAGTTCTAATGTCGTGAACGCTTCTCTCAGATGTCTTGGTCAAGGAAAAGAAAACTAATCTCTGAATTGGGTGCTATAGCACTGAGAGCATTGAAGTAATTTTACATAGCGTTGGTACACAATGCCGCACAAAATACATTTACTTTCTTTCCCATGTGATGTTGTATATCCATGATATATACATTTCGTGGTAGCCCACTATCCCAGTGTACATTTGATCTGTGATTAGTTTTCTAGTGCAACTTTTACTTTAACTTAATCCGCGAAGTTAAGCTCCGCGAAAAATTTACAATGATCCACAAATACAGTTTTCCGCAAAAGATTTAATTTTTTCTTATTCAGGGACACATATTCCTGCTATGTGTACAAAAATCTATTTGTTAAAATTGTTCTAGAAATTTTCAGTGTACATTTTTTTTCCTGCTAGCCTGAGTTCGTACAATCGCTCACTAAAGGGGATATCCTTTTCTTCTTTTGCCCTACTTAGCAAGAGATTCGGGACACTAAGTGAGACAGATATTTTATGTCTTCTAGAGGTCCCATTAACGGGTGTACACTGTAGCATCATTTAAACTAGCACGACAAACAAAAATAGTGGTGCTGATCTATTTTGCCACAATTCGAAACATTTTAGCCAAGAATGGCGAATTTTCAAGCCGATTACCTATGGACTTTAACGATTTGTTACATTTCTAGTAGACGTATCACTGGAACTGGTTCATTTTTGGACACAATAGCAACATTGCAAAATTGTAGCAGATTCAAAATATATTACGCTAACACTATTAGCTTGGTTCTCATACTTTAAAATATATTACGTTCGCTCAAGGGTAAAATGGCAATGGCTTACAAAGCAAGTAGATTTGAAATGACGACACTAGGTTGCTATGGCAAGAAAACCTCTAAAGAAAGTATCTAATGGAATTACAAGCAAAATAAACAAGGAATGCTCATGATATCGACTACCCGAATTTGGACATGAATTTAGTATCAAGCAACAATAAAAATCAGTCAGCTTGGATTAGAAGTATCAGAATGAAATGTGAAGATAACTTTTGATTGATGGTATTAATTTGGTAACATAAGGTGTTTGGGAGACAAGAAGAAACAACTACTTAGTCTTACCAATCGGTTTGTTAGGATGCAAAGCATCTTCGTCACCTTTCTTTTTTTTCCAAGGTAGAAAACGCATCTTGAGAAGAACTTCTAACTACACCATCGACTTTCTCACTGCAGCACGTTGTGAGGATTAAAAATGGTCTCTCTGATTCTTCATCAATGCTAAAGGCTTTGATATGTTAATAACTACTGACAAAACAGACATTACAATAGGTCACCCTGCGTATGAATTCGTTATCTGAATCTCTATTTGCCCCTTGCAAACACGACCAAACTCATTCAGGTCTTCAAGCTCTTTAATACTGAAAGTAATTAATAATTAAGCATGATAGATAGCACTTCAGGTCATGTGTGTTTTTGCGGCAAAATGTAAGCTTTTTTCTAAAATAAGGAGATGGTAACGTTTCATCTTTAGTGAGCTCATCTGTTAAGGAGCTGTGTGGCTTTTAATAAATTTTCAATAGGAATTGCAGCTTTGAGTTTAGCTAGCCAAAGCAAAACACTATTTTTCTGAGGCATTGTCATAGAAAACGTAGCAGAAACGAATATTTGACAGGTGGCCAAACCACAATTCAGTTTGAGCATTCGTGCAATGGCTGAATAGTAGAATACAAGAATACTGGTAAACCAAGACCGAGATATGATTCCTCGTCATAGCAGAACGGCTTCGAGAGGGGAGGGGGATTAACCATGGAGTATAATAAGTTTATAACGCTTTATTATTCAGATATAACGCTTTTTGCAAGCAGTTACACCCTTCGACGCAGGCACCGCGAACCAGTCTAGAAGTGGGGAGGGGGGGATGGAGGTGGGGCTGGAAAGGGCGTGACTGAAAGTTCTTTAAGGCCACATCTTTTTATAAACAGTGTGGCTGGGAGAAATATCAATAACTATAAAATGAGATAAATTAGCTTAAGGATAAGAAACACCAAGCTAACCAAGTTACAAAATGCTTCATGCCATTAAACAAGACAAAACACCTAGAATATGAACAAAAAAGATTTCCAGTCATAAAAGTATGCTAAATTTTCTAAGCTATTATTGTCAAAAAGTGGGGAGTTATAGCTCAGGGTGGACACTTGGTCAAATATTGAGGAGGGCAGGCCTATTGTTTAAATAAGATGACGTCACAATTCCTATTGCTTTAGAACAAAAGACCATTGTCCTCAAAAGTATTGGAGGGCGGTCGCCCCTTTGCCCCCCAGATGTCCGCCACTGCCCCTGCCAGCCCATTGGCTGCACGGTGCCTGCTTCGATGTAGGTGTCTTGACCCCACATTTTTGAAAGACAAAATAACTTAGAGATTTCTCCTTAATAAGTTGATATTAAGAAATAGAAAATTTTTGAAATTAGAAAACTTGATAGACATATATTTTCGAGGAACTGGTAGATGCACTTAAATACATTGAACAATAACCTATATAAAAATATATTAAATAAATTAAGCATGAAAGTTTATCACTACTATTTAAATTGAAATGCGTCGTGTTAATAATCTGCTTTCAGAATTACGAAATAATCATAGAATCACAAATACAGTTAGACAAACATCCAAAGCAAAATAAAAGTTTTGATCATGGGCTATCTTCTAGGAGCCTCTCAATGGATTCATCGGAGACGTCATTCAGTAAAGTAACGTCCTGTTTAAGCAGCGATGCAAGCCTCGTATACATTTGGATGCGACTGTCTATCATTTGAAGCAGAGGCTCGTGTCCTATCTTGTATGCAGTTTTTGCTCCTTGGATCTTTACGATATCCAACGCTCGATGTGGTTGTTGCATGCAATTGAAATAGTCTGCCTGCGCAGCATAGAAATGAGCTTTCGCAGCATCCGATGCATCTCGCCAACATTTCAACTCAAATAAATCCAACAATGCCTTTGCTTTTTCTATGTTCTTTTGAGGGACATCCCCATTAAATCCAACAGGAAAATAGGAGCGTAAAAGAACGTTTATTTTCTTCAAAGTTGCAAACTGTCGTTTTTTCTCCATGGCTGTGGTATCGGGATCCTCTACTGCATGCTTAATCTCGATATCAAAACAATCAATAGCTTTCGATTCGAGGCTTTCTGATGGCACATCAAGCTCCGCAGCCATCCCCATCAAAACGCACCCATTCAGATACGCAACAAGGGCCTTATCCTCGTTTGAAACATGAAAAGCCAAAACTGACATAGCCTCATCCAGGTACTCCAAAGCCTTCACGTAGTCTTTTTCATACAGTGATATGTTGCCTAGGTAGGTCAAACACCGGCCAACTAATAACTGGTTGTTATGTGCCTTGGATACAAATTTCAAAGCCATTGCGAGCTCTCTCCTTGCTGCGCCAAGGTCATTCCTGTAAATATACAGCACAGATCGCTGAATCAGCAACACAACTTGGAGATCAATCTCCCCTTTGGCTTCAAATCCTTTGATCAGCTTTTCACTGTATCGTAATAGTGTATTACCTTGGCCAGTGTCTTGGAAATACCTCATTTGTTGCATGAGTTTGTCATAGCGAGCACCACAACAAGAACCTTGCCTACGCAGTGCATCAGGGAACATCTGGGGATCGTTTGTGATGACAGTCTTTAAGATGCTGTCTCTTTCAACGATAAGATCTTTACGGGCCTGAACCTCCGTTTCGTGGTTGAAGAAGTTGATATTTGTATTTCCAATAGCAACTAAAGCAGCATTTTTAATAATAACCAAGAAATTGAAGTTTTTTGACTTCATGAAGCAGCGTACACTACGCCCTTCCGTACTTTTACTTTTTTCATCAATGTTTTCATCATCGATTTCAATTACTTCATTAACATCTGCTTTACTGCCATATTCTGTTGCCTGACTTTCACTTACTTTGATACCTTCATTATCTTCATTATCTTCCTTTTCACTTTCCCTTTCCAATTCTACCTTACATTTTTTGCTTAATAGTTTTGCCTCATCAACAAAGTTTTCTTTCTTTGTGAAAATACTTTCCGCTTCTGCTCTATCTCTCTTCTTATCTTCAACAACAACATTGCTATGATCCTCTTCCTTCAAAACACTATTGGCAGAACCAATACCAATCAGTCTGACAGAATCTGGGGAGAGAAGTACCACTTCGGTGTCCCTAATATTGGCAATAGGATGTCGCAAGGAACTCGTCTCATTATTAAGTAGTTTTTGTATAGGAATAGACTCGTCAAGAGGTCGTGTCATCAAGCAACTGAAACATTAAATCTCGCTGCATCAAATAAAATAATTATCTGCAATGTTCATTGTTCATAGCACGTCCCCTTAAAACCGGCTAAGGTGCGCATTCTGCAGTTTCATGCTTATGTTGCACTTTCGTACACACTCGTGCATATTACTTCAACATACCACCTTCGTCTTTTAGCTAGAGGAAAGATTCATGAATTGTTAAAATGAAAAGCAAAATGAAAGACTGGTTCATGAATTGTCTTTAAATCGATATTCTTTAAGATACTGGATTACTGAGTCCTTAAAAAATCTTTTAAGAGTCCATAAAACTGTTAAGATAACAGTGAACTCGCCAAGTTAAAGTTGTTGACGAAAAAATTTTGCCAAATTCGACAATGATACAGCTGTTCGACGCCAATTATACATCAACGATGCAATAAATAATGATGCAAATTATTCGTTGTTTTCAAATAATTGACGATTGCTTTCGATTAAAGAAACGGATTTTTAGTACATAAACTACACTCAGTTATGAATAATTTGTGTATTTCACGTCGATCGTATGACAAAATTTATCTGGACCTGCCTGAACTGAAAGTCGAAACTAACAAAACGTTTTACAGGTTGTTTCACTTTCAGTATTTCTCTTCACTGTGATCCAAAACTGAAATTAAGCTGCGGACAACAGGTTTCAGCAAAGACAACAAGCCTAATCTAAATAAAATCTTAACCTTTGCATTCCTACAAATGTTAAAAGAACTGTTTGATCACCTGTTAGCAATTCAGATATCATTTCTTGTGACACTTGAACCACTAGCTAAGTAAAGGCCTATTTCTCCATGCCAATTGCACTACAGGACAAGATCAAACTGCAACTGCTTCATTTGTAAACAAAGTCATGCCCCGTTTCAAAGTGAGGCCGCAAACCGCAAAAATTCGAATCAAAGGCTTTAGAAGATTTAGACTTCAACATTCTAAAGCTGCGGTCAAAAATCAGGTGAAGTTCCGAGAACTCAAAAGGGGTTGCTTCAACTTCTTCCCAGCTATCTCTCATTGCTTGAAAACCTATAACATATATACCGTAAATCCTCAACCCCCTGGGCCCCTAGCACCGGGGGCTTATTTATTTTTGATATTTTTGGGTGGGGAGCTATTTCAGGGGGGGGGGGTTATAAAATTATAGTAGACATCAAGAAGACATTATTAAAAGACCTCGTATATTATAGTATGAATTTTTTAAATAACATTTTAACTAATTTTTACCAAAAGTATGAATTTTAGTGGTAATTCAATAAAACACTAAAGGCAACCTCAGATGGCAACAATCAACAAATCAAGGGGACCAATTCGATTCACGGTAGCAGTAGGGGCTTATTCGAGGGGGGGGGCTTATTGAAAATTTGTAGTTCTAGGGTGGGGGCTTATTCGAGAGGGAGGCTTTTTCGAGGGGGGGGGGGCAATTCGAAGATTTACGGTATGTTGCTTTCTTTTGTAGCAACTATAAGCAGTCTAAGAAATGAAATATGCATTTTGAAATATCATTCCATTATCTTTGGCCAGGAGCTTCAGAGTATAAAAAGGGACGTTGATTGATGGGCACTTCAGGTGGGGGCTTATTCGAGGGGGCCGTTTTCATAAACATTCACTTAGTAAGCAATTTCCAAAAATGTCCATTTCATGCATATTTTTAGGATCAATGAAGACACTTGTACAATATCGCATATTTTCTCAAATCGGGACAGTGTGAACGGGCCTAAATTTTGATTCAATGATTATTCTAATTAATTGAAAATATGACCTGATGTTTATTTGAAAACCAGCTTTTATACAAATCAAATAACGCTTGCCGTGGGAGAAAGTTGTGTAAAGCAGCCGACCTCCCGCGGGAGCATGAGTGCTGTTGGGAATCCCAAGACACCTTTTGCCCGTGCGGCTTTTATTCTAGGCACGAAGAAGCATTCCCTGGTGAAAATACAAGGTATAAATACATTCCCTCTCAAGTTGCTCGTCCTTTGCTGGTCAAGATTTAAGTGAGACACCACCTCCGTGAAACACCTACTGCAAAATTAGGCCCATTTGGTATGTAAACAAGTGACACTTTCACCCCATATGTTTGTTTCTTATGCTTTCTCCCTTGTTAAAATAAACTTAAACTCACTATATCCTTCTCGTCTTTATTTTAGAAATTTCAATACGGGATGCATGAAGAAAATCGAGAAATAGTTGAAACACCAAGGTATATGCCCCCATTTTTTCGCGCTCACACTTTCTTTCTGAACAATGTCTTTAAAAAGTATCAAACGGCTTAGAGAATATTTAAAGATAGATCTATGATAAGTGTTATTTGGTAGTTTTTAAAATCATTTTATAGAGCTTAGAAATCACACTCCATTTAGCTGGCCTAAAAGGGCCTAAATTAAACGAAACGATGAAATTTTTTCGAGAAGAGGCTGGGGATGACAATTTACAGATTAACGCGCGAAAATAGTTTTGCTGACGACATCTCTTTTCACCTTTCTTTTATTTTTAGGCCAGTAAAACAGACAGTGCATGCAAAAGACGAAAGATGTTCTAACAAGTGAGTGTGTTTAATTTTCTATTTGCTAAAAATTTGCTTTCATAAGCTTGACAGTTCTATCAAATCTGCTGCATTTGATTATTTTCTTTATCATTTGTTTAAAAAGAATCTTACGCGACACTAAAACGTCCACGAAAATTTTCCATTCGTCAAAGAAAGAAAAAAGGGCCTAAGACTCTAGGGGGCCTTTTGGATGTTTGGACAGGCATGCTCATGTTTGGCTAGAAAATTTTAACCCGAAAAAATATTCATGCGTCAAAGCTTTTGGATTTCATGACACTTCCTGCTTATTTGTTGAATGCTTATCTGCAGGAAATGAGGTTTTAAATAACTAGATACTTGGCAAAAAGTAAATCAAAAACATAATGAAAGTAAAAGCAATCATAGTTGTTTAGGATCATTTTAATTGACAGTGCCTTTTGAGATATAAAAGTAAAAGAATACCACTAAAACATCTTGTAGAATTTATCATCCAACATCGATCTAGGTATAACCAAATTTTTGATGTATAGTATATAACTTTGCTTAAGTGGTTTACACTAAAGAAATACATGGATATATCTTAGAAATTTTTTACTTTCCATTCCATTTTTCTAGAATTAGCATCACCAATCCTTCTTTTGGTACAAGCCAATATGACTGTTGCCGTTTAACATTTTTGTGATAAGGTATGATCTTTTACCAATTTTAAATTGAAAAATCTAAATCTAGAAGAATCTAGTTTTTAATGAAAATATGATTGACTGTATAAGGCTATTGAAAGTTTGGAGCTAACTAGAAGAAATGAAAATGATTGGCCTATTTCGATCCACAACTGGGTATATATTTTTCAAACGTGTTTTTTCGGAACCTATTCTGACGTTTTATGCTCTGAGGAGTGTCAGACGAAAAAGCTTTAAGTATGTTGTAAAATGTTTGCTTTTTTCAAAGCCATTTTCAAATTCTGTACCGCAAAAAAATTGTTCACATTTTTCAAGAAATGAAAAGTAAATGTGAACAGTAAACAGATTGCAAAGCTCGTAAATATTGGAAAAGAAGTAAAATTTGCTAACAGAGACGGGTTCGAGATCTTTTTTATAACTGTTGAGGAAAATTATCAATCTGGAAAAAGATTTTTCTTCTCAATTCAAATTCAAATTCTCGATTTGCATAACATGTCAAAAATTTGCATACATGCTATTAAGTTTCAGAACTTTGAAATGTTGTCAAAGATTTTAGTATGATAGAAAAGGAAATTAAATTGTCTTTTTCGTCTCAAACCAATACTTCAAAGATGAATGAATGATTTTTGAAACAATAGTTGTATCGTCTTTTCCTTTTCGATATTGAACAAATCCATATTCAGAGCTTTTAAAACTTTTGTTCAATTATGGAAAACAAGGTAGCCTTTTCGTTTAGGTGATTTGGGATCTGTCTCTAAATGAAACAAGAAATATCGATTTTTTTAGATAAAAGGTTCGTTTTCTCTCTTGGACTCTACAAGTACACGTGGGCTTAGCAGTCATTTATTGTCCAAAGACAAGGAACCAATCAAACGTGTCATTATTTCTCTCAGGTTAAGATTCGATTCACCTCTGAATAGAAATTCTGCCCAGCTTTTGGTTAATATCCAACAATTTAATACTGTTAGGTGTTGTGCATCATTTTTCTGCTATTTTGTGCCAAAATTTCATGATTGGTTGATAAAATTTTGCTTCCAATTCAAAACATCAAGAAATTTGAAAAATATTTGAAGCAGAAAGCTTTGCTTATGTCTCTACAAGATCGATACTATTTGATGCAAATAAAAACAGATCTTTGATTGATCGTCTAAGTGTTGTTCATGAAAAATCAAATGCTGATTTTTTAAAACCAAAAACATTTCATATTAGAATTGTCTTTTCCACAATTAAACCTCTAAATTACTGAAAAGCTGGCCGTAAAGCATAAAACATGACATAAAATATTTAATCGTGAGTTTTGTTAGTTCGTCTTTAATTCTCATAAAAATTTTAGGAAAAAACACTACAATTTCATAATTTAACTAAGATAAAGTTAAGAACAAAGATGCAATAAATTCAGTAAGAAGGGACTTTGTATAGAGAAAGCTAGGTTAACGCAATCAAAGGTTTTATTCCTAAATTCTTTGAATCGATTCTGGGGAAACTTAATTGTCTATTTACATTAAAATCAGGAACAACCCTACCCAACCACCCACCTGTTCCCAAGCTCAATCCGTACCCAACCACCCACCCATACACTTCCGCTCTAAGAACAGCATACGCCCCTCTTTTCTGATTTACAACCAAAATGATCATTTCAAGCTTTGGATTCACCGGATTTGTTTTTCAATGTCAGTTTTGGTTTGCTGGCTTGGGTTGGTTTTTGCGGTGCTTGGCTGGGTTTTTGTCTGGTATTTTGGGGGTTTCATCAAGGTCTTGTCTCGGAGGTTGTGGCAGTGGCTGGTGGTGGATTTCATTGAAAAACATTTCTGGTGACCCAATTACTGAAAATGATTTGGCTGATTTCAATTGGGAAATGAACAGAAGGCTAAGGGGGGGGGGGGGTTGAATCTGATTAGGTCAGCTAGAATTCATGATACTTGTAGACCGGATAATTAGGTATTACAGAAGTTTTAAACGATGATTAACGAATATCATATTTCAAACTTAAGACTTTCCAGTATTAAACTTCAATCATAAGACTTTCAAATGTTTAATTCTATTAATTCTATTGAAATACCATAGCCAATCTAACCTTTTAATCTTCGAATATCTAATGAATCAAATAATTCTAATTTGATTTCAAAAAAAATTTTCAACCCAATTCAGAATATGATAGAAAAAGCTGATGTCCAGATTCTTAATGCCATTATCATATTGACACCAAATCTTATTTGAACACAATATTATAAAGCATGGGAATCTTACAAGGTATCACGAAAATGTTTATTTTGAAGCCCCCAAAAAAGTATTTGAAAAATGTCAAAGCAGTTTCGTTAGTCATAGCATAACAAAGCTTTCATAATACAATCGGTTTCTTTTAAAACTTCTAATTCCACGATTTTCTTCCTAAAGAATCATTTTTAATTCACTTTTATCAATAAATTTTAACGTCTACAGAAAATTGAAAACTATTCCAATTGCTCCCAATGTCATAAAAATTATAATTTCAAGGATAATTATGTAACAAAATTTATCTAGCTTTTAGCTAAAATCATATTAAGATTAAGCCGAATGGAATTTTTTTTGCTTGCTGAAATTATTTTCATCGATTTTAGAGTTTCGATTTTATAGCTAAGACATTCTTCATCAAAGCCAAAAGCGTGAGTCAATTAAATGACAGAAAATCACCTCAAGTACGAAAGTAACTGTTTGCATTTTTAATAAAGTTTTCGATTTGAAAACTAGTTTGAATGTTGAAAATAAGAAAATTCAACTTTTTTTGAAATATGCAAAAAGTGATATGCTTATACTGAAAAATGAATTGTTTATGGAAAACATATTCCCGCATTAGTTTGTTGTTATTTGACAGATACAAGCATGAACCTAAAATAGTTATTTTCTTGCATTTTATTTAGTATAACTGCTTGATCCTTGTTTAGACAAACCTATATTCAATTTCGTGATAAGAACAAGATGAAGAAAAACACGAGTGCATCCTTGCGATGTCTTTTGGCAATTTTTCGATGCTTCTTCTAAACTTATAAATCGAATGAAAAGAAGCTCGTGAACTAGCAAAAGATAGATTTGCTTGGCAAAAACATTTCATTTAGAAATTATGTGTTGCACTTTGTAAATTTACTAAAAAAGAGTTTAATAATTTAATAAATAATTCTAAAACTTTTTTCTTTTCTTTTTCAGGTTGGCATTTTTTTCAAATTTTCTGTAAACATTTGTTTCAGATTTTCAAATACTTCACATTCATTTTTCTCTTTAACGACCCTTTTATCTTAGCTTATATTCTTAGCCAAAGAACATTAAAGAACATTGCTGAAAACTGACAATAAATACTTTACGTAAGTTGGTTCCTAGTTTACTAATGTTTTCTCTGCCTATAGTTATTTGAAATGTTTGACAAACTTGATCATGGTACACTTATATCGTAAAAGTAATGCAAATTTGTTTTCAAATTCCTGCCATACTTTGTTTTTTTTCCCAGTTGTTTTTCCATTTGCAGTATGAACGTTGAAGGAAATTGCCAGTTTAGCTCTTAGCCAATATAAACTTATTAGTCTCTATCCTGCACATGGAGTGTAAAAATGATTTCTTTCTCGAATGCACTAGCTTCTTCTTTGTTTTTCATTTCTGAAATAATGACATCTGGTCTTTGGTGTGTAGAAAGGGAGTGACATTTCATTTTTTTATTAATTTGTCGGAAAAATTGCCTGACAGTAAAATAGAAACAAAATTGCTTCATCTTCGTGCCGGTAAACTCAGCTTTTATAAACCCTTCTAGGCGTGAATAAGTAGTATCTTCATGTTATATACGGGAAGCCAGTTTTCTGATCTGTAAACACTTTAGCAATTTTTCTAATTTTTCCATTATTTAGTATTTCTTAACTTATTATTTTCAGGTTATATTTGGCTATACATTTGAAGTATTTGAACTATTAAAAGAACCATTTAACAGACAAAGCAACGAGTGAGTCTCAACTAGTTTCATATTTTTAGCCGTTTTTACTTATGTGTTTTTGACCTTTTTTAAATAGCCAAATTTTTAGAAATTTACGAAGTCATTTGGCCAAATTCACAAAGTCATTTGGAAGTGAGCCGAAAAAGTGTGTTTCTTCAAATTATTATATTTTCATAAAATTTTGTTTGATCTTTTCTTTATATAATTTTTTTTAATTTTTTGCTAAAGCTAAAACTGAGTCATCGAAATTTTTTAACACATCAATTTTGATAAAACTTCTTACCATTTTAACTAAAATGGCTTTTTTGAAATCATTGGGAAAATATCCGTACGATGTGTTTTTCTTTTATATCACTAACTACCAATTTTGATAATTTTCAGCAACTTTTCGATATTCATTTTGATGTTAATCAACACCATATTTATTTTAGATCATATTAGATGGAGAAAATAGAGAAATTTATCAGATGCCACATAGCCAGGTTGCTACATTGCTATATTTCCTACAAATCATTTTCCAAGCTTCTGAAAAATGATTATTCGAAGAAAACATATAGCATACAGGCATTAGAGCTTTCAGGAATAGATTTTTTCCAATTTAGTTACTTTAATTTGCAAAATGTTCATTTTACAAAGAAATTTGAAGTTATTTTCCCTAAATATTGTCTTATTAAGATTTAATTTCTTTTTCAGGTTTAGCTTGGATCAACCATCTCTTTTGTAGCAAGCCAATTTTCCTTAAATGAATGTTTAAGTTTTTTCTCTCAAGTTTTGCTTCGTAGGGGAAAATATGTTTGAACATACAGGAATCATATCTGGTAAGTTGCTGTTTTTATTTATCCACTTTCATTTTTAATTTGCCATTGTTTTGATTTTTTCGTGCTCCGTTGTTCCCATCTACAATTTCAGCTTTTCTATTCTTCTTAGAACAAATAATAACAATGTATTTCAATGTACGTTTCAACTCTTATTTCTCACTCTACAAATTATACTGAGGATAAGCAAGTCCACTGGTGACACAACTTCTATGAAGGAATTGTGTCTTAGATAATACTATTTTCCTCTTGAAACTGTGGTATCTATTTTTGTCATTCTGCATCATTTATGAAGTTCGTTTTGCCCTTTTTAGCTTGTTAAATTTTCATCTATTTTAATGGTAGAGTGACTTGAAAGGAACTCGCTCCTTTAATCAAAATAGTCAAAAAATTGTTTGCAGCCGACTTTTTGCACTCAATTTATATTTTAACACCATTGCAAAATATTTCATGGGTCTATTATTTTTTAGGTCATTTCACCAGCATTGTTACAGACAACCAAATGTAAAAAGGCAGGCTGCCTAAAAACTTTCTGTAAGTCACATTTCATTTAGTTATGAATTTTGATAAAGATGCTATCGAAAGTGATGGTGGATTAAACTTAATGTATATTTTTTCAAAACATGTAACTTTGCTAAAACCAGCCATTCTTAGAAATTGATTAATGACCACGAATTGTTGACCAATTAAAATCATGCGAGTGTTTGAAATGTGTGAATCTAAGAAAATAAACAATTTTCACTAATATTAATATCAACTTAACAACTGAGAAAAAAATCTTGAGACTCCGAGACATCGTCTGCATTTGATTCTTTTAAATGTTGTTTTATAGCATAGCAGCTTGTTGTATAACTATATTCTTTCAATTCAATATTTTTCTTTCAAAAAGTTAGGCACGATATACAAGTAATCATCCTCAAAGAGCTCTGTTTTGACAAAATTTTAGACCAGATTTAACCGTTTTTAGGCTTTAATATGGACGTGTAATTACATTCTCAAAACATGAAGATTTCATTACTTTACACCAATTTAATCCTGATGAAATTATTAAAAATTCGAATGCATTTGCAACTTCAACAATGTTGTCATCTTATCTCAAGCTTTTTGTATCACGAGAATTTTACCCGGAAATAGCAAAAATTGAAATGACAGTGCACATTATTTTAAGGCTACAAAAATTACTATGCCTTTTCTCGAATATTGAAGAAATGTTTGAAAGAGTACCGGACACATACCAGTTTAGTCAGAAGAACTTTGGAAAAGATCTTGAATGCTTTTCAAATATGAATGATTACTTTCTGGAGAATCTGCAGTTTCCTAAAGTAAGATACCTCTTTCTATTGGGAAAATTTTATCATCTCATAAAACATTAATAAGGTTCTCCATAAATCATTTTAATCAAACAATGATAACATTAAGCCTTTTTAGAAATCTCATAAATGATGGATACGTTATTGAGGCAGAAAAGGCTTTCACGGGATTTCAAAATCGTGCATTTTTATAACCTTTCCTTTTACATAATTCCATATAGTTAACAACTCTATCAATTAATCATTTGAAAGGAAGAACATGTGGCCATTTATTATTGAAAATGTTTTTAAAAGGTCTTAAACACAGAAAATTTTTATCATGAAATTTGTTTAAATTTATGCACCCTTCTTTTGGCAATTTACTTATACTTGAATCTCCCTAAAATCTGAAAAAAAATCATTTTAAAGAGATTTTTGTTCTCTTAAATGGTATGAAAAACACTGACTTTGTAAACTAAGAAACCAATTACTTTGGTGTCGATTTTCAATTGGCTTTAATTACATTTTTTGGTTTTGGCATACCGAATCTTATTTTCAGAAGAATTATTTTTTTTAAAAAATTATCTTGCTTCAATGTTGCTTCTTTCCTTTCTATTAACAATTTTCGCTCTTAACTAAAGTAAGAGAAATTTATAGAACAAAATGATTTCTTTCTTTCTGAGTATCCCATGATATGATGAACATTAGGGTGTAGGTTCTTGCAACAGACTTGTAGAGGAGCCAGCCTATTATAATAACTTTTTTGGAGGCCTATCCTTTCACGAGGCTCTAAATTGTGTTTTAATAGATGGTACATGTGAAAGAAAGTCACTTTCTTCAAAACAAGATTTAGAATAGATGAAGAGTTGTTTAGATTTTTACCATCTGGTATGGTTATTATGGAAAGATAATTTTCTGAAATCTCCTAAAGCGGTAAAAATTTTCAAATTGAATAATTCTTTAAGTTTATTTTGAAGGCCACTTTGGGAGAAATGCATTTAGTCAATTTTCGAAGCACCTTTTCCTAAGGATCTCAAAACATTTCCATGGCCATCTCTTGATTACAGATAAATCGAATTGACTTCATTCTGCTTTTTATCAGATTCGTTATCATCCTTTGAATTAATTTAGACTGTTGAAAAGCATTTAATTGTCAAGTAGAGATTGACTATATAGATATTTTTGGGATTGATAAACATTTCTTGAAAACTTACAACTTTCGATGTCACGGGGCTAAACTATGACGGGACTGGCATACTTCAAAATTTGTTTTTGTTATCTTCGTCCAGATGAGGATTCCTAGCGTCATCCCATTTTAGATTGTTTTGGTGCAAGAATACATATAAGGGTATTTCTAAACATCTGAAAAAATCGGAATTTTTGTTTTTGAAATATATAGCCTCTGCATTAAGAGAATCAAGTCAGACCCTGTCGATACGAAATTGCAGCCATGAACCAAGAGTCATCTTAGCCTAGCGTGTTTTGTTTACAGAATTGTAATGAATTGAGATTTCTGTAGAAACTAATTGAGAATTTCATGACAAAGTACTATTCTCAACAAACATGGTTAGTTTTGGCAACAAATAGTCTTCTCTAAAGCGGTTTTTTAGTCTTTTGACATGGGCCCTAACATGACATATCTGTAGAAAGAGAACGGACCTATTTTTATAAAGTGAAAATTTATGTAATTTGCAGAAGGAATATTGACTAACTCCTCTGCATTAAAAATTCAAGCTGTGATGCTCCCCTATATATGCACTCGCTATTTAAGTTTCTTTGTGGCTGTTTTCTGGCGCCAAATATTTTTGCAACCTTGAATTGTCTTGACAAATTACTGAATATTTCATATCATTCACAAGTATGTTTTGAAGAAATTGCAAGAGATATATTGGTAGCGTTATCTAAATCATGTAGGTAGCCTGTTAAGTAGAATTTGAAGGAAAATGAAAATAAAATGGACATTTGATTTTCCTAACTCGTTGTCAAGAGATTAGGTTCGTGGATGGGCATGGCTAGTAGAACTTGGTCTTTTTCGTTTTCAGATCAACTTGCCTACAGGACCATCTCTCCTACTAACAAAACCAATTCAGAAAAATAAATCTTTTAGAGCAATGCAGTCTTGATAAACTTACAGATGATTCTTTGCTGTACTTTTGATGCAGTTTCAGAATAAATTGAAAGAAAAAGGGCTGTGAACCATTAATGATGAATTCCACTCGAATCATAAAATCATTTTGAATTCATTCTATTCTGTGGAAATCCACCCAACTTTTTCATTAAATAAAATGCTCTATTTATTGACTATTATATCTATATATTTATTGATTTTTCAAAACTTACAGACAATCTCGATTTGCAAAGAGCGTTTAATGAACACTGATTTTATGAGAATAAAGTATTTTGAAAAGAAAATAAAGATGATGATAATATAACAACATGACAAGAAATTGAACTGGAGAACTCTATGAATAATTTGTTATATTTTGAACATTACTAATAAGCTACTTCTGCCAGGAGAAAATGTTTGATTTCCTAATTTCTTTTTGTTTGTGCTGATGAAGCTTGCGGACATTTTAATCACCTATGAAAAAGCAATTCAATCAAGATTAAGATCCTTTAAATTTCATATTTATTTCCTTGGCAAATTTTGTTAAATTGGTTTCCAATAATAGTTAAAGTTTCATTGTTACAATATTCCCATCTTCTATTTTATAGGATTCAAACTTTAAAATGGAGCACGATTGCATGATAAGAAATGGACAATCATTTTGGTACGTACTGGCTCAATCTATATTTGAACAATTTTGTACATGCTATCTATGTTAGTATTTTCAATAAAACATGAATAAGGTACAAAATTTTCTCACTATTTTAAATTGACCATTAGGTTAATGGAACATGTTGACAGAATTGGCACAATTCAACGATATATAAAAATATGATATAGGAAATGCAAGATAAAAATTGAATTTATCGAACAATTTGCCTTTGATGAACAAAAGTTGATAATTTCTTTATAGAGAATAGTTTTATTAATTTCAGAAAACCATTTTAAAAAATTTATGAAAATTAATCTTCATAATCCACCTCCTCGAAAGTCTACAAAAAACATTCGTAAATTGTCAAAATTTATATAGAATAATTGCAGAAATTTCAGTCTTTACTTTTCTAGCCTTTTGTTGAAGATTCTGAGGCTCGAAGAATTAAGTTGACTTGTGTTTGTTGTTTGGGTTGTTGGAGGTTGATTTGAAGGATGGATGGAACTTTGAAAGGTTGGCTTGGCTTTTAGAGGTTAAGACTGGGGAAGTAAAGACTGTTTAACTGCAAGCAAGGAACAAAAAAATATATAAAAACTTTGGTCGTACAAGAATTTATTGGTATCAATTTCTATATTCAACCTAATGAGGCAATTTCTATATTCGCCCTTTAACGATTATTTCCTGAGACAACGATAGTCTTTCACATTTTCATCAACTAGTGCTTTGCTGGACTTCCAACACTTTTTATTACCTAAGGCAGAACATGGCTTGCATGGAGACAACCGGTCTCTTGAGAGAAACATAGACATGATTGCACGAGAAATGGCACTCTTTTTTATGCAGTGTGCAATGCAAAGTGTAATGATTATAGGCTTGGATGATTCCGTCGCTGAGAAAGTAAACAAGGATATCTAAGACTAACTTTTACCACGTGCATGGATTTCGGATCTTGTAGTTTTAATTTATTGCTTCATGGACGATTCTTCTTCGATTTTGCTGGCTTCTTGTTTATTTTTTGCAGACCGCAGCAAGATTTGAAGGCAGTCATATTGGTGAAGCGGAATTAATTGTGAAGATGGAAGATACAAGAACACTATATCGATATATTGGACTTTTATTGAAAAGACTTTGTTGTTAGTTTGTAATTTGCAATCGGTACTTTCTCGCTAATTTCGCTCGCATCCAAAACCAAGATTTTTGCTACAAGAGGTGACCCGAAGGAACATTGCCACATATATTATGATAATCAAGATTTCGATTTGAAGAAGCTAAGAGACAATTTATGACATATTAGTTTCGCACTATGAAGGAGAGGATTCGAATCGAGTTTCCAGGTAAAGAAATTTCCATCTTGCATATGTACCCGTACCCTACAGGTAATTTCGGTCATTGTAACTTTGCACATATCCACTTCCCGCACCCTCTTAGCTTAGTCGATTAGAGAATATAAAACCCCTCTTCGAATCCAAGATCTCTAGCTTATAGATAGACTATTAAGCATCCCCTCCATTTTATGTAGCTCATTTTAGTCAATTAAACCATAAGGTAATCGATCTAGGACTGCTTAAGACCCTACCGTTCTCCATAGAACCCTCTTTATTATAATCGTAGTTTAATATCGTATTGCGAGAGAGTATCGATACTTCGTTAGGTTAATAATTTCTAGTTAGACATTTTGTAACATTTGAAGGCATATTCTTCTAATGGGTGTGAATAAGGCGCCTGTTCGCATCTGTTTTTAGAATAGGCCTTTCTCGTTTAATGTAGTTTGTATTTGTATTTTAATGTATTTAATTAGTTGCTTAGGAGACTGTTTTCGGTGTTATGTTAGTGGTTATGTTAGCACGGTGTTTTAATCGAGGGGTTAACGGGAAGGAGTTCTTCTCTTTTTTGTTGACCCTTTGCTTAAAACACCATGTTAACATAACCCCTAACATAACATTCGAAGGGTTTTCTTGGCAGGGTGTTTTAATCGAAGGGTTAACAAGGGGGACTTCTTTCCTTCTTGTTAACCCTTTGCTTAAAACACCATCTTAGACAAACCCCTTTCGAAAACAGTCTCCTCGGCACTAAGGTAGAACTTAACATTGTAAGTAGAGTAAGATCGCTTGAATGAAGAGGAGAAAATCGAGCAAAAATTCTTTCTGACCCCCGTCTTTTGACCGGTCCAAACGAGGCTGTAACCCCCCCGTCTTCGGTGGGCATCAAAACGAGGCTAATCGGGCTAAAATGAACGAATCTGATTGGTTAAGAACAATTGAAAAGACAATAGAAGTATCTAAATGATGATTGGTCAGAAAACAATAGAAAATTTGAATTGAAGGGCTCTGATTGGTCAGTAAACAATAGAGTGAGACCGAAATGGCTCAATTTGATTGGTCGAAAGACAATGGTGGCCGCCAGTGGCCGCTGTTTCCAAAATTTTCGCTATATTCTAGGTGACGGCCCTTGCCCGCAGCCACCAAAAGGGCTCAAATGGAGCAAGCTGATTGGTTGAAAACAATGACCTGTCAATCATTTGCGGCACCTAGCCGCATTTTTTAGAGCCACCTATTAGGGGCATGGCCGCCGTGGAAGAACAATGGAAAACCTTCGATCGCCAACGGGATTTTCTAATAGAAAGACGGGGGAATATCTTTTCAATTTCTATAGAAATCTATAAAGCCTCTTATAGAAATAGCCAAAGGTTTTCTGAGTCAAGACAAAAGAAACACTGTCAAACTTCAAAGACAATTTTCAATGAAGACAAACAAATTTTTTTGATTGAACAATAGTTATGTGACTTAAAAACAAAGAAGTTCGGGGGTAAATTCAATAGATTAAGATCGAAAAAACAATGGAAAATCGGGGGTAAATTCAATGGATTCTACTAGGAAATACAATAGAAAACGGGGGTAAATTCAATGGATTTAAATCGAAAATACAATGGAAAATCGGGGGTACATTCAATAGATTGAAATCGAAAATACAATGGAAAACGGGGGTAAATTGAATAGATTTAAATCGAAAATACAATGGAAAATCGGGGGTAAATTGAATTGATTTAAATCTAAAATACAATGGAAAACGGGGGTAAATTCAATGGATTTAAATCGAAAATACAATGGAAAATCGGGGGTACATTCAATAGATTGAAACCGAAAATACAATGGAAAACGGGGGTAAATTGAATAGATTTAAATCGAAAATACAATGGGAAATCGGGGGTAAATTGAATTGATTTAAATCTAAAATACAATGGAAAACGGGGGTAAATTGAATAGATTTAAATCGAAAAAACAATGGAAAGTCGGGGGTAAATTCAATAGATTTAACTCAAGAATACAATGAAAATTAGGGGTAAATTCAATAGATTTAAATCCAAAATAGAACGGAAAGTTGGGGGTAAATCCAATAGATTTTAAGTAAAAATACAATGGAAAATCGAGCGTAAATTCAAAAGAACTTGATACGGTAAAAGGGAACTCGGGGACAAATTTGATAGAGTTTAATAAAAAAGGATAAGGACAAGCGACGGCAACTTCGATAGAATTAAAACGAAAACGACAGTGGGAAATTCTGCTCAGTCAAATAGAATTGACATAAAATGAAAAGTAGGGTTGATGTAAAAACTTCTAGTAAAAATACAATGCAAAATCAGGGGTTTATTCAATAGAATTAAATTGATAATAGAAATAAAATCGAGGCATATCTGTGATACGATTGTTGATCTATGTTCAAATTAACGTATCGGAAAATGATAAAATTTAAGGATGTATCAGATATAGGGGTTAAGGTTTAAGACATTGAAACAAATGGGACGTGGGTTCGGAGCTACAGTTTTGTCTGCGATAGAAGTATGGTTAATAAAACTTTAACGCAATCAGTTTGTTGGATAGTTATAGGAAGGGGTGGGGAAGGGGAAGGGGTTTATTGATCGCTGCGGTCCAGACTGCAAATTGGATTGAGACTTAAATTGAAACATCAGGTGCACACTTCGGAAATATTCAACCCACAGGTTTATGTTTCATCTAAGGTACATGGATATAGGGGGAGAGGAATGTTGGACCAAAATTTATTGAAGTAATGTTAAATAAATACCGTTTGAGGTTACTGTCATATTTACAATATCCTAATGAAATAAATATGTAGTCCAAGTTAGTAGTCAAAGGTTGTAGGGCTAGTCCTTCATCGCAGCGGAGGGTAATTGCAATTTCTTCCTTCTCAGAAAATCCACGATTCTTCGTTGGGGGAAAAGACCTTAAAAAGCAAAATACAAATACCTTTTAACACACATTCGCTGGACGGAAATTAAACAAAGAAATACGAGCAAATGAGGTCAGTGGGACTCGAAACGACGACGAGTAAACCAAACTTGCAGGATTCAGAAAAAAGGTTGAAAAGCCAATTGAGACAAGTTGACAAATGTAATTGTAAAACTTAGGCAAATATATTGCGTACTTACATGCAAAAAACAGCAGAAATGTTCGCAATTAAAGTGAAAAATATCCACAAAATTCAACAATGTTCCGTTGAAGCCACATGTTGTTTACATCGAACAGGCCACGTTTCATGTCGAAGGTGTGAAGTCTCTTTGTCCCATATTCAATACATCTCCCTAAATTTGAAAAAGCGATTTATAGGTGCTCAGTTGATGAAGGGGAACATGTCGGCTCTTTGGTTAAAGAAAGTCTAAACTAGATATTAAAGATGCCAAAGGCTGAAATTTTGATGGGGCTTGGGGTATAAGACTCTGGGACGTCGCAATCACTGGTTTGGCAGGGGCGTTGTCTTAGAAAGCGGACAGTTTCCAAACTTTCGTCGGTCTCTTTTTTGCATTTAACTTGGTTTTTAGGGGTCTCTTTAGATCCTGTTACTGTGGCCAACGTCTTCCCTGCCCCCTTCCTTGTCTCTTACAATTTGGAGAGGGGAGTTTGTAACGAAGTTGGAAAACTTCCTAGAGGTTGCGTCCTAGAGGATAGAGAGAGGCTAAAGCTATTGGCCCTTCAGGATTACCATTCTCTTCACCAAACATAGTTGATAGAAGCTACTTTTTCACTTCAACCAAACTAATCCTCATTCGCTTCTATTTTTTTCACTTCTAAGCCAAATGAGAGTTCCGTTTTCCCAAACGATGTTGGGAAAAAACCTTCAATAGAAATTCTTTGATCGGATGTAAGAAGGTTTCAAGTTCTGGTTTTGTTATCATGAAGAGTGATATCTTTGGAAAGGAACTTTAGGTCAGGAAAAGGTAGTCTGGAGGTTTAGATTTGCGAATTCTCTCAGAAATTTTCGCTCCTTAAAACTTCTACCTACCATTTTTTGCAATATCGATACTTGAATTGCTTCGATGCCAATGCCGCCCTATGGTGTCGCTTTCCCTCTGTTGTTATATTCAAATTTGCCCATAATCCTTCTTTGACGTTCCTGCTACTTCAGGAGACTTGATCTAATAATAAATGAATGAATAGATGAAAAATAATAATAATAATAATAATAATAATAATAAAGGATTGGTTCACAGGTTCACTTGCAGATTAGCTAGGTCAAATATTCATTTGACTAAATTTAGGGGTTGAGCTACCCCCGTCCAAAATATCAGACAGGGCTAAGCCATAACGCCTCTTGAGCCCTCCTTCCATTGCACCTCTAATAATTTCGAGTGTGCTACAAGGGGCTACTATAATATGGTTTTGCACACTAGCTGATTGCTTGTTATTGCCCTCAAGAAAATACCAAAATTTTTATGCAGGTAGTTAATTAAAAACCAAAGAGACCACTTATTTCATCTTACCCGCCAGGTTACGCTGACCCACCAACATCGGCTGGTTGTCCCATTGTGATGTAGAGAATGACCGTAATGTCATCTCTTTGAAAACTGTTGCTAAGCAATAGACAGCGAGGGCCTAAAATGAACAAATCTAAGAGACAGATATAAAAAACTGCTCTATTTGAAATCGTCGTGAGTACATTTCACTAAGAACATCCTCAAGAAAAAAAAATTGTTTGGCTGACAGCAGATATATTTGAAAGATTTTAATACGAATTTAGATTATATAAAACAGAATTTACTTCATATGAAAATAAGTATAAACTTTAGGGTCGTAGGAAGCATTTAGGGGGGGGGGGGATTATTTGAAGGGTCTTTATCGTGATCAGCAGTCAGCCAAAACTTTAGCAAAAAGGCACTGTGAAAGTAAAAATACAACATGAATAGGGGCACTTTTTCCCCCTGAGAGAGCACGTATAAAAGCCTTGAGGAGGGGGGCAAACTCGTGTCTCCAGTTCCTATTTTCTGATAACCTGGATAGAGTCAATCTTAATATCCAGTTCAGTTATGTTTGTGATGTCAGAACAAATCCTTAACTTTAACAAGACTAAAAAAATTGGAAAAAGATATAAAATTGTCAAAAACAAACTGAAGACAAACTGATGATGGACTGAAGACAAACTAAAACTAAATATGACAAAATTTTTGGGAAGCTATAAAAAAAATATTGAAATAACTTTTGTAGAAGATTTGGATTCAATAAGAATTATGCCTAAGAAACATAGGAATACTTTTCTATCCAAAAGGGTAGAGAGGATTTCTCTTCAAAAATTAGATGGATGTTTTGAAAATTGTTAGGCACGTAGAAATTTCTCCGAATTCACCTAAAGTTATGCCTGTTACACCTTGTGTGGGTTCCTGGTCCGAAATACTAATTTGATATCAGTTGCTAATATGGGTTTTTCGGCTTTCGAGGTACATATGATAAACTTTTATATACTGTATGATTATTGGATAGCGTACCCCAAAGGTGTAATGCTTGAGAATTCATCTAATAAAGAAGAGAGGGTTACGTGACAGCATCATACGTAAACAGGGTTTTTGTATCATAGAAAAAAGTTAAGTTTGCGAACGCAAAATTCTGTTGAAAGTTTGTACGAAAATCTCTGTATGATCCACTTCATTTGTTTTTATTTACGTGCATGAAAAAAGAGCAGTACCCGAGAAGGAAATTATTTAGTCAATTAAATAAAACGAAATTTCTTAAAATGTGCAATCCTTGTTATGTTGGTTAAACGTAAGAAACACATTCCCATCCTTAGATCAAAAATATCAAATTAATGTGTAAAACGCACAAAGAAAAGTTATAAAGAGGAGCGGTCAATTTAGCATATCAGGCAACGATTGAAGGGTTCAGCCGTGAGAGTTTGCCCGTAATGAGATAAATCAATGCATCTTGGAACTAATAAAATAAGCATGATGTAAGCATAAAATTAGTCTCAAATACTCAATAAGCATATAAAAATGGCGTAACACGATCAGGCCCAAGGTAAGGTTACCTTATACAGTGCTACCCCTTTGAAGAGGTGGGGGGACCAGAAAGAATTCATATATGGCCAAAAAAGGATACAACCCCCTTACCCCAATACCCAACTGCAGCCCAAAAATTTGAAACTGAATAGGGGAAAAATCATAAATGAAAAAAGGACAAAAAAAGAAATGAAGGACCAGAAAGGACAAAGGGTTAGGGTCCCTTCCCGCCTCAACAACTTCAATCTTTTTCCAACTTTGCATTCGAAAGAAACAAATTTTTGCATAGAGAAATTTTGACGGAAAAACAGTCTTATGTTTCTAGCAATATGAATAACAAATTACCATGAAACTGGTTTATAATACCCAACACCAACCTACTCTGGAAGTAAAATTTATACTATTTACATAACAAACTATTTTGATAATTTTGTGTCGTTGTGTTCAATTGGATAGTGTTCAGGCAGCTCTGTTTCCGTGCTTCGTAGCCATTTTTGAAACAAGAACTGCTTCGCGGTGCGTTCGTTATATTTATAATTCTCTCTGCGAATATATTCGCTTATTTCAAGCGATCGTTTCCGCGGCACGTTGAATTTTCCGGGCGGTTGCTTCGTCTTGTACATGTTCTCGCAACCCCCTATGTCGCTATCGTTGTCCTTTTTCGCAACTGCCCCGTTCGAAGCACGTGTGCGAGACCGTCCAGTAACCGGCCTAAAAGAGTCGTTTTTCGTCAAGGCCGTTATTCGCGGTTTATCAGTTCTCTGAAGTGGATGTTTCTGAAGATTATTGTGTGTTACGTGTGACCGAGCGCTTCGCTCGTTTCTCGTTACAACGCCGTGACGGTTTTCGGTCCGGTTCCGTAAACCGCTCTCCTTTGCTGCTGCAGTTCTGGGTTTTTCTGAGTCTGTTGTTTTCTGCTGGTTTCCACGGTCCTTGCTTCCTGTGAAAAACGACAGCAAGTTCTCTGTAAAACTGTTCCTATCATTTGAAAATTTGAAAAATCTTCCCGGTTTTCGTTCCGACTTGGAATTTCCCGGTGTGTCGTTGCGTATATGCGGTAAATGAATATTGGCCTCGCAATCCGGCGAATCTACCTGACTCGTTTTCTCGATGATTTGCGATGATGTGTGTTCTGTGCCATTCTCATTGAAACGCGGAAATGTTCCGTGCGATCGGTTCGGCATAGTGTTTCTGTTTAATTGGCAGAGGGTCTTTCTATAATAAATATCGAACTTTACTATTAACGAAAAGGTTCACTGGATCACACATAAACATCTGTTGCGTGTGTCTTGTCATCTTTCTTTGCTAAAAAGAAAACATTTAACTTGAGTTTTTTGAAATGATATTTTTACGTTAATACCCAGATATTTTATGACAGGTGGAAATAAGCAACCCAGATATGGAAACGAGACTCAGCCGGAATGTGTCCCTAAGTCATAAGACATGCTGAAATTTCATAGCTTCGTGTTGAAAGCGACTCTTGTTAGAAAAGCTATTGATCACTTTGAAACAAAATATAAATTTCCACTGATTTTAAAAACTCAATTGTCGCTCACTACGGCATGTAAAGATGCACCGTCAGCCAAATTTGATGCCGTATTGTAAAAGAAACACGCCGTTCTTAAATCTTGTCCATTTTTGAAGCTGTCATAAATCTTAAACTAGACAATTGAATAACAATTGGTCAACGAGCGAACGAAGATGTATTGCACCGTAGATAAAACATTGTTACAAATACCCTTTGTGTTGCAGTGTAAGAGAAACCTTGGTAAGAGATGGTGAGCAAACACGATAGCCCGGTTCGTTACCCAAACCAGGCAGTTCAATGAAACAAACAGGAAGTTTTAAGAGCCAATTCGTAATCTAAAAATTTGCATTTTAGTGCTTGATGACATCTTTTATCAATCTCAATACACCAATTGCTGGTGTACCAATAAACCTTATCTGCCTTTAGTTGTGGGTTGTCCTCAGCCCTAACCTTACAGAACACTCAACCGAACCCTGGAAAATCATACGATGATATATAGAATTCCTAATTGTGAGAAGGAATAGGATTTCGAGACCATATCAGCATGTTAATTTCGATCGAATCGAATACCTACCATAGCATGAAACATGCAACAAAAACACTTAAAGGCCTGACATCAGATCAGTTTAAAAAACATTTGCACAACACAATCCAGATGAAGAAAAGAGACACAAATTTGGTCATTGAGTAATTTCTTTACGCAAGGCCGTGTTCTAGGTAAACGCAGAAACGAAAACATGAAGAAGAAGAAGACTGCGACTAAGAGGTCAAAACGATTAAGCTGCCAGGAAATATCAATGAGTAATTTGAAGTTGAGGCAACATAAATGCTTTGTCTGAAAAAGGAGTCTAGATATATCGTGTCTTTTGTACGATAAAGCAAATTCTTCCAATCTACGACTGGATCAAATGGCCTAAGGCTTCGATAAGCTATTAGCAGAAGTATGAGAAAATATATTGTATGTATTTGATGGCTGGCAAGGTGGAATATTTGAATATGAAGAAAACAGAGGTACCTATCTCGGATCTGGACTACATAAAACAAGATGTCGTGTCTTTTGTATCTCAAGTTGCCATCTCCCAGAAACAAAGCCAAATTCTCTTGCAACCCATAACCAAATGCAGAAGAAAAATTAAGCCATGGCTAAGCACACCCAATCATGCGGTATCATTTCTGACAGAAAACTGGAATTCGTGCATAAAACCTCCCCATACAAAATGCTGAATAATCGTATCCAAGTTCCAAGGATTACGCTTGTGATGTAAATAGGTACCTTAGTGGTGAATATTTTAAATAGTCGATTTAAGAGAAAGAAATGCAACCGAAACTAGTAATAATTAATTAATGAAAACTTTATCGATGCATTCATCCAAGAGCATTTGGTAGAATGAATAGGAAAAATGTAATCTATGAAATGGTGGGAAGACGCCCCACCGCAGCTAGATTAGAATTTTGTATGCACTTTGCATTTTGCAGGTATGAGCATAGATGCTTTTTAGCACTGAAGAAGCAAAATTTTGAAATCAAGTCTGCATAATAGATACAAGTGAGGGTGTGGCTTCATTCAAACTTACTTATCAAGGAAGATATATCATGTCACTTAATCAAGTTTGTGCTAATAAGTCTGTCACATAGTGCTCGATACCATCTAATATAGAACAGGGCGGTGCAAAGTTGCAACTTTGAGTTTCATGCTTAATGCAGTTGTCTTAAGTAGGCCACAAACAGACGTGCATTAGTGCAATGGGAAATTAGTATTTCCAAAGAGCCAACAAGGCGAGCAATAAGTATATTGAGTTGTGTATAAAGTGGAACAACATTGCCTTCAAATGGAAAAGACAATATTTTTATAAGTAAATTATACACGGCTTTGAAAAAAGCAAACATTTAGTAAACTAAAGCTTTTCGTCTGACACTCTTCAGAGTTTAAAACGTCAGAACATAGATCGAAAACTCTACGCGCTAAGAAATATATATACCCAGTTGTGGATCGAAATAGGCCAATCAGAAACACGAGCACATGACTGTAAAGGTTGACAAATCAGTGCCGCTTGCCTATTAGAATGTAAGCAATGGAGTCCTAAGGTGAAAACGAACTCCTTTTGTCTACACAGTAGCGGTTTTTTCGTGCTTATGTAGATAGATTCTAAAACTGCTAGGTGGAACGACGATCGGGCTTTACCAATAATCCGAAACATGTCGCCATGATAGTTTTTTGCCCAAAGAGAACAGCCACCTCGTTCTTGCAAATCCAAAATTACTACTAAAACCTGCGATTCTGCTATCGGGCAGCATTTGCTAGAAAACCCAGTTTGTGCAAAAAACTATAATGGCGACATGTTTCGGATTATTGGTAAAGCCCGATCGTCGTTCCACCTAGCAGTTTTAGAATCTATCTACATAAGCACGAAAAAACCGCTACTATGTAGACAAAAGGAGTTCGTTTTCACCTTAGGACTCCATTAGTAACATTCTAATAGGCAAGCGGCACTGATTGGTCAACCTTTACAGTCATGTGCTCGTGTTTCTGATTGGCCTATTTCGATCCACAACTGGGTATATATATTTCTTAGCGTAGAGTTTTCGATCTATGTTCTGACGTTTTAAACTCTGAAGAGTGTCAGACGAAAAGCTTTAGTTTACTAAATGTTTGCTTTTTTCAAAGCGAGAAAATGTTCTTATGAAAGAGGAGTGTTCCTCTCTAGCACAGCTTATTCTGCATTGCCGGGTCTGCAAACCAACTTTGGCTAACTACAAGCTGCTGGTTTTTTTTCGAAATTGTGTTAGACACGGCCCGAAGGTGGTTATTTGTTTGGTGCTTGGGAAATATAAGTATGATCGTTATGTGTTTATTGATCGCAAAGAAATCTACTAGCAGAGCACAAAATAGACTAGTCATCGGGCGACTACGATAACTGGATGTTTGGACCTATTCCATTGCATGATTATCCTTAATTGCATATTAATTACGGCAGTTATGCTGTTAGAGAGACCAGTTGTTGTCAACTTTAAGTCTTCAGGGGCTGATTGTCAGGTTTTTGTATATATGCAATGATAGTTGAACCTTTTTTTAAGATGTTTATAAAAAGTCTACGCTTACAATTGTTTTGACAGTTGAAGATTTCGCTGATAATGTTCTTAAAGTCTAGACCAGGGCGTATGCAACTACCTGTGTTAAGAAATCTTTAATAGGCCCTTGAATAAATTTTCTACATTGCCCTGGTTCAATCGTGTTATTGGAGGGGGATGGAGGCTCTACATAGAGATCAGACGAGTCAGAGAAGACGAGGACCGCGCGCTGGAGCGGAGATAGAGTGAGGTGAGGAGGGTGAGAAGTCTTCATCAAGTCAAATTATATATATATTACAAATATATATTATTATTTTTTAAATAATATAGTATAATATAGATATTATTTCGAAAATTATATTTGTGTGAGTAACATTATAATATAGTATAAGTTATTTCTATAATATATTGTAGGTTTGCTTTTAATTTTTTTTTTTTATATGTGGATTATTTGAAAGAGTGTATTTTTCTTATATTATATATATATTCTATATATAAGGAAAGCTGCTATTAGTATTGATAGATAATATAGAGATAACAGTTGTCTGTGGGCTAACTGATGTTCAAAAAATAATGTAGATTAGAATATAGATAATATGATTGGTTTTGTTTTGGCATTTTGAAGCCAGTTTAATGTATCGACGGTTGTTACGATGTTGTTGTTATCGATGCTCTCGCATATAAGGATTCTCCACAATATATTATTTTGTTCTGTGCTGTTTTAAATATGTTCTTAAATTATATTCAACTGCATGTAGGTACAAGCCATTTGCTCTTTATGTGCGCTCATCTTGTCCTCAAAATGTCCTTATTTTTCGGGGTCATGAAAGTCCTAAAATTGTGTCGTTGAATTTAAATTCAGCTTTCTTTGTTTGTCTGGGTTTTAATAGAGTGGATTAGAAAAGAAAGCTCCAATTTGGATTACACCTAGCTTTATGCTGTTTTGGCTATACACTGGTGGAGGTATTTGTTCTGATATGGACTCTTGAACTATTTCACGCTTAACTGGCATAGAGGCTCATAGATGAGACTGTATAGCATCAACATGTGACTGTAACAGTTGTGTGGTGGGGAGTTGGGTAATTGGGGGGTAGGTGGTCAGTTTTCCAGCTCGAATTTAGTAAAAATTGGAGTCGAAGTTTGTGCGAAGCACGTTCAAAAAGACGCACTACCGGATGGTCAAGGGACGAAAAGCTCTAGTGGTTCCCACATTTGAGTTTTCCTATTGGCATGACGTCTTGATCTTTATTAGTTTAAAGCTCTGGTGGGTGGTTCTTGTAAAGGATATATAGGGGGTCCCTTTGACCGCTATGAGAATCAATGAAGTGAATTTATGTGATGGCATGAGATGGTTTTCTGCGAAAACAACCTTTTCGATGTAGATTTAGGCATCTTCATTTTCCCTTTGTGTTGTCATTCTTTCTGTGAGTCTTTCGCGAAGAAGACTTTTCAGGTTCTTTGATAGCGCAATATTCTGCCTGATGCAAAATAGTAAAGTTTCAAATATAGAGATTAATTTGTGGCGTTGCATATCTTATGATCGTTACGATTGCAGTTATAAACCCCGTTCGTACCGTACGTTTGTGTTGGTTGGTATGTATAAACATCTGATGTTTGTCATAGGGCGATATATAATATAACCAGTATATTAGAGATAGATATTTATATATAGAAATTGCTAAATCCATTGAAGTCTGTAGATATTCGTGCTGACTGTCGGTGTGGCGTAGTGGCAAGATATATTAGAGAGAGATGCTTTGCAATATTGATATATGATAACAGAAGCTCCTTCGTGCATGTGTTAAGTGTAAAGGTACACCCCCTTATAGTGCAGAAGATTGTATCCGCATCTCTCAGGCCTTTTTATTATCGTCACTTCTCCGTTAAAAAGATGGATTATAAAGATATATAGATGAGAGAGGATATATAATATGATAGATAGATGTCTTTCTTTCTCTTGTTTTTATATCATGTTATTGTTAAATGCTCAGGCAGAGCAATAGGTGTGTGTTGTTCTTCACCTGTTTTTTTACAAAATAGCAGTCGGTCGCCCGACATACTTGGTAAAAGTAAAGGTATGGAATTCTTCAAGTGTTACTTTTCGTTTTAATTTGGGGTGGTGTTATTTTTTTTGATGCCATCCTTACAGATATTTCATGCAGAGAGGTACAGTTGATGTAGATTGCGTTAATTTATCTCTAATGATATTCTTGTTTTAATCTGTTTAATATGGACTCCCCGTATTACTGTCGTATTAGTTTTATTAGGTTATAGGATGTTAGGATCTTATCTGCGTGTGGTCGGCTCGTGGTGTCGCGTCCTCGAGTGCTTCTCCTTGCGCAGTTGCTACTCCCTGTCTCGCTCGTCGCGGTCTGTTCTTTGTTGGGTTATAGCTTCTGGTTCTTGTGAGGTGATGTGATGTCCTGTATATAGGGGTGAGTGTTTTAACACGTTGGCGTGTTTGCGTGTGTGAGAGTTGGCGCGGCAGTCTTGGCGCGTGTAGTTTTGGCGTCTAATATTTGATCGAGAGCATTCCCTTTTGACGGTTAGGGCATCTGGCATATCGTAGCTCCAAGCACCTGCTGGTTTTTGGAGTTTGTGAATCATTTGTACTTCTAGTTTTCGTAGTTTGAAATCTCAGAGCTAAGAGTAAATCCTTAGAGAAGTTCCCAAAGTGTTTTAGTCTGATGCAGGCGCAGAATGTAGTTTAGCGGGGAAATTAGGGCCATATTTTGCTAGAATGGCGCTCATAACTATATGAAAATTTCTATTAAAGCTGTTAAAGTGTTGCGTAATAGTTACGTAATAGAACAATTGCATGTCACTGATGTATGAGTGAATGGCTGCGGGGTTAACGATACCAGTCTACAATTGAGGCTTAATTCACGGACCATGTCATTCGTAGCCGCCACTCCCGCCTTTTGACGGGAGGTCTGTATGACAGTGGTGTGGTGAGTTGCAGGCTGAAAATTATATATATTGTGATCGATTTGTATTGTTGTTATGAGAGATAGGGTGTTATAGTGGACTGCCGAGTGGCACTTTTTGTAAGTACTTAGGCCAGCAAAGTTTTGCGCCCCGTCTCTATTTTCGAACTTGCTCTTCTTCGACTGCAATTGAAGAGGGGCTTTAACAGCCAAGAGGCGTAAGCAGGGCACTTGTGATCTTGAATAAAACGAATTGCTTTAAAGTTCTAATCCAAGCCCTCAATCTGGGTGAAACGAGGGAGCAGCATGCTTTCAAAATTGCCGCAGAGATTTCTTTGCTCAAGGAATATAAACTCTTGTTTTTAGGCAATAGTCCTGTGTTTGAAACAGATGTAACTCTTACTTGAGTTGGTCGATAAGGAAGTTTGCTATTAGGTAATAATTCTGTTTTTCATTTAAGCCAAGGAATCTGCCACACCGGCTGAACGGATTCCGAATTAAAAAACTGGTGAGTGAATTTTTAAAACATTCTCTAATGCTTGGGATTTCATTTATAGGTCGAGAATTTTGTAGAGAATGACGGCTTTATAAAGCTTGTTATGCAAGCTAAGTACAAACAAGCTCGAGATGTCATGTGTTATCCGTAAGGTACAGTTATTGTTAATGTGTATGATGTTAACTCAGATAGGGTTGTTGTCAAGTTGTATCTTAAACAATTAGTATGTTTTCAAGCATAGACAAACAGATCTGATCTCTTAACTATACAATGGTTGGATACTATCAAACAGGTGTATCTTAGATGCGTGTCAGTTTGGACACGAGAATCTAATTCGAGAAAGATTTGTTTTGTGGGTGTTTTGCTTTGTATCGTTGGAACATCTCGAGGCCTTTTATTAGAAAAGGGTAGATGATGAAATATTTATGATTGATAAGCCAAATTCTTGAAACATAAACTACTTTAGTGGAAAGGATGGAGAAATGAGCATCTGAAGAGTGCCAGAGGATTTTCAAGCACCGGCTAGGCTGCGTTTTGTGGTGAGAGAGGTCCTGTGCAGAGGAATAGGGCTGGGAAAAAGTGTTGTGTTGTATTTTCAGCAGAATAAAGGAGAATCAGACAGCTGAAATTTAACTGGGCCATTTTCCTCTATCAACCCTTGTAAAGACCCTTTGTCCCCCCAATCGGCATCTAGGCCCCTTTTTTAATACCGATTTAACTTTAAGTCAACAGGAAGTTAGACATTTGGAATGTGTTAATTTAAGATATCTTTTGGTGGTACAAAACTATGTAAATG